AGGCAGTAGAGGATTCTGAGGGTAAAATGTGAAGCATAGATGTGGCTACCAGTTAATGGCAGGACTTCAATACACTGGAGGAAAGCAGGGATTCATTCAGGCATGCAGGAGGTGGGGGGCAGGGGGCAGCAATGGTTGCCCAGGCCTCCTCTGAAGCAAGGCCTTCACTTACTCAAACTCTGTGTGTCCTCCTGGGATATGTCTCTGGTAGACTCTGGTCCCTGGGTTTGGGATACACCAGCTATTGAATCCTCATCTATGATGGGCTCTGTATCAACAGTGACTTCAGTTATTATTATGGCTTGTATCTAGACATCCCCTCAAAGCCCCATGCAGTCACAGGTGGGGAGTTTAGAGGGAGACTGGATTAGGGTGTGTACATGTGGATTAAGGGTGTGATACTGGGATTAAGACTCTGGATAATAGCAGCTCCACCCTGCTGTGGGTGGCACCAATGAATAGGCTTAGAGCCTGGATGTAAAATAAAAGAAGAAAGGGAAAGCAAACTTGCTACTGCTCTTTGCTGCCTTCTGACTCCTTCCCATGCCATGAGCTGTTTCTCCTCTGCAATGTCCTCTGCCATGCCAGCCTGCCATGGAACCAGCTGACTATGGCCTGAAACCTCTACAAACTGTGAGCTGATATATACCTTTCCTGGTTTATCTTGGATGTTTGGTATTTTATCTCAGGAATGGGAAAAGGAACTAAGACAGTGGAGAACATGTCTGACTCCAAGGCAGTAGAGAATTCTGGGGAAAAAAATGAGAAACATAGGTATGGCTACCAGTTAATGGTAGAAATCCAATACATTGGAGGAAAGCAGGGTTTCATTCAGGCATGCAGGAGATGGGGGCAGCATTGGCTGCCCAGGCCCCCTCTGAGGCAAGGCCTTCACTTACTTGAAGTCTGTGTGTCCTCCTGGGATATGCCTCTGGTGAACTCTGGTCCGTGGGTCTGGGATACACCAGCTGTTGAACCTTCATCTATGATGGGCTCTGTATCAACAGTGACCTCAATTATTATTATGTCTCGTATCTAGATGTCCCCTCAAAGCCCCATGCAGTCACAGGTGGGGAGTTTAGAGGGTGACTGGATTATGGTGTGTAAATGTGGATTAAGGGTATGATACTGGGATTAAGATTGTGGATAAT